GTCTCACGGTGAGATACCGCAGGTCAATCCTTCCTGCAGCGGTCAGACTATACAACCAGCACAGTCCCTAGTAGACCCCGCACAAAACAACAGTATGTGCAATATATATATGCCGTTAAAAACTGTGCAATATATACCTGGCTGCTAAATCCGCAGAACTGTCACAGGGTGTGTAATATGTAGAATGTGTAACTTTAAAAATATATATATATATAATACTTTTTGTATGCATGCTTTAGGTAACATTAAGCTGTCTTTGGCTCTTGTCTGCTGTAACAATGTAAATGTATCCCCTGTGGGACTAATAAAGGTATTCTGATTCTGATCGCAAAAACCAAGCCAATACTATGCTGCGTTCATGGAGCTACGTGGAAGTGGGGAAGGACAACGCTTGATTGTGGATACGTGGATTTCAGATTCTAGCACAGTTTATTGCTCTTATACCTTGATTGTTGCCAACTACGATGCTCAACAGCTCGCTTAACGGAACTTTGATGCTGGTATCAGTTTTGTTTACCACAAATCACGGGAGTATTGTGTATAGAAAGTGTGTAGTTGTATTTCTTGCGCTACCTAACATCCATGAAGGCATCATGACAGAGGGAGGCCTGTCACCCACTCAGGGTGCCAAACTACTCTTTGGTAAGCCCCGCCCCCCGAAGCAATATCAGGGTCAAAAGTCTGAAAGCGAAAAAAAAAGATCTGAAAGCGAATAAAAAAGATCTGAAAGTCAAAAACGATCTGAAGGCGGAAAGACTATGCCGTCTGATACAAGGGGTGGTGTCAATGTTGGGTAAAGTCGGAATCCGTGGACGTCATGTTCGATGGTATAAGTACAAGGGAGGCGTGTACAACCTGTCGGACCGGGATCACGAACCCGTGAACAGACGGGTGTAGGGTTTGCGAAACCGTGAATTTTCGTGGCCGTCTCCTAAATCCCTACTTAAGAGATCGACCTTTCGAGTACGTTGGCTAGTAATAGAAGACAACTTAACAAAGAAGTTTGACTTCTTCTTCGTTCTGTTTGATAGGTCGATTTAGAATGCGAACTATGGATCATTCCTTCTGCGGAATTGTGTCAGTGAAAAGGGGGGAAATTAAAGGAAGAACTCAACGAAGATACAGGATAAAGATACCCTCGAGGTGACTTTGCACGGTTCAGAAAAGGTTAAACGTAGGGTCCTTGTACCGTAAAATTAAGCTTGAAGTCAGTCCCAGAAGTAAAAGTCATTGAAAAGCGACAACAGAAACGTAATTAGTTCGAGTTCGCGTTGTAGGCAGGGCGAAACGAGTCTTTGAACGAACAAACATAGCTTAGGTATAGAACACTTAACGAAATCAGTCCCGGCGTGACTACATCGAATCGACGCAACGAGTTGGTTTGAGGTGTTAGTGGAAGGTGGAGAAAGTAAGAGTTAGGAAAAGAAATGAAAGAAGGTTAGTAAGACACTTAGTCTAATTGATTCTGACAGTCGAACTGTACAGATAGAAGAAAGAACTTCAGAAAAAGGAATGAAGCTAAGTAGGAGGAACGTCTACCGTGAAAGGTATAGGAGGAGAGGTCCTGAGTTTCTTCCCGTAAGGTGGTCCGACCCGACGAGTTACGAGGAGCCGTGAGGTGAAGTTGCAAGTGAGGATTAGACGGCAGATGGAGTCGGTCGTGCACAACAGGCGACCGGGGGGGACTTAGACTAGGGGGCCCTAACCCCGTGAGTATTCAACTACGACGGTAGAGGACACAAGTACAACCTTGACGTAATATGTAAGTCGAACACGTCTTCGTTAATTTTTGTGTTCTATATAATAGCCGACGGTTATCCTCGATAAAGCCCACGTATTCAAAAACCTAGTAACGTTTCTTTATTTACATAAACTTCAGGTTCAAAAGTAGGACTTGAAACTTGCTTTATGTTACAACATAAACTTTGTTTTTTTTCATAAACTTTTAGTAAAAAGTCCGAAACTTATGAATAAAAAAACTAATGTCAAGTCGTAAAAAAAATTATTTTATAAATAAAAGATAAAGTGAAAATATTAATAAAACCTATAAACTTATGAAAAAAAAGAGTCATAGTCTAAAATGCAAAGTCTAAGTTTTGTAATAAAAAACGCAAAGTTTAGAAAAAAAAGTCCAA